ATTAGTCTTTATCCTGCAATCTGGGTCAGGATGGAGCTAAAGAGGGTGGGTTTTAAATCTGCTACAGGGCTCAGGTTGGATCTACTTATGTGAAGGCACAAGAGGCAGACAGTTACATTGTGGCGAGGCATTCTAAGGGGGATAGAAAATGCTTTCACCTGATATAGGGATCTTTTCCTGACCCAGAGAGTAAACAAGAATAAAGAGGGGTTGTACTTTCAGATGAATGCCATTTAAACACACACACACACACACACACACACACACACACACACACACACACACTCTACTTTTCTCTAGGCTTTCTGTGTTCAGTTTTTCAGGCCCTAAACAGTGTCTGCCAGATAGACTTTAAAAGGAAGACACCATCTTCCAGACTCAGGAAAATATGGGTTTCTTTTAAACAATAGAATCATACATTATTTGGGTTGAAATGGACTTTAGAAATCATCTACTCCAACCACCTCATGTTGAAGAAGAGGATATGAAACAGGGAGGAGAGTGACTTACTTGCCCAAGGTCACCTTCATCATACCACAGTTTAATTTTCTTTTGGGTTTTTTTTTCTAGATTCCTTTTTTATACAGTATGAATAATTTATTAAATAATGCAGAAACAAAACAAATTGACTCGGTAACTGCCACCTGATAAACTGGATATGTGTCAAAGACTCTTGTCACATGCCTCATCATTCCCCCAAAATGATTACGAAAGGATGCTGTTTGCCAGATCTCTGTCTTGGGGGTCCTTCCTCAAAACCTCTGGCACTGCTTTTAATGCGGTTATTTTCTACGCACGTTTTAGCACTTAATTTACTCGGCCAAAGCTCTGAAACTTTTGTGTGACTCTTGCTCTCTCTCCGGACAAGAGGGTGGTAGTGTGTTTTCCTAAATATGTTCTGAAATATCGCTAAAATTAGAGAAACTTAAATATAAAAACTTGGATTTGAAAATTAAATCCAAGCTCCACTCTAATTGTACTTGCTAGGGCTGGTTGCTATTTCTTTCACTTACCAAAATCAGCAGAAAACTTCAAGTTCAAATATGGTATGAGAAAAATATACAGGCAAGAAATGAAGGGGCCTGGTTCTGTTCTTCACTTTCCCACTAAATTTGCTACAAACCATCCACTTGATATCTAGATGCAATTTTTCCTTCTCTCTAAGCCTTGCTTTCCTAAGAAAGCAGGAAACCAAATGATCTCTGGGGTTCCATCATTAGTTATGCCATTCAAATAGTATCTCCAAAACTGTTTTGTTTATTTTTTTTTAATGTTACAGTAACTGCAGAATTATCTATCGCTATTTCCAAAGATGGGAACTGACACTAAAGGAACACTTACATATCTGCTAAATCTATGTAAACCTTTCAGAGGAGGCAGTTTCACTATTGAAATAATTCTCCAAAACAATGTTGACTGACCTTGGATTAAGAGTTTGGGAATCTAACCCTCTATCCCCCACCCCTCACCCCCCATTTCACTTTCCGGATTGATTTGTGAGGGTTTTTTCCACCTTTTCCTTATTTTAAATTATTTGTGAAGACCTGAAGAGAATTAGGAGTATGCATATGCATATACACACATAGATAAGTAAGATCAAGCCTGGTTCTTATCTAGTCTGAACACTTCAGTAGAAACAGAGTTTTGTATTCAGTTTCTCTGGCCACCACCACTTCAAGGTTATAGAATATTCTATTTCAAGACACCTTTAAAACTGAGGTGCCCATTTAAAAGTACTGCTGCAGAGTGTTATGTTATTTTGATTTCTGCCACAAAATGAATCACTCCTGAACCACAAACACCAGCAAGGAATGCGTTAGAAGATCCGCCATCATATTAAAAATTAAATCCGGCTGCGTTTCATTAATGGGCTTTCCTTTGTAAAGCACGGTTTCTTCTTCTCACCGTGGAAATTGCGCTCTGATGGCCGTTCTTTACGGTTCACACTAAGGCATCGGCTGAGGTCAGAACCCTGCTTCTCTGAACAGGGAACCACAAATGTCACTGACACATGGTACACTTGGCAAATAATATATTTCTTTCCAATCTCCTGTGTCTTCAGTTAGCCTCGCATCATGCTTCTGGTAAGCTGCAGAGTGTTTATTTCTTGGGTGTTCTTTTCTTCCTTTAGTGGGACAGGCCAGTGGGAGACACACAATTGACAATGAATTTCAAAAGTGAACCTCTTTTGATTGTTGTTGTTGTCTTTATTTTAACCTCCAAGAAGGGAGAGGTTTAACTCGGTCTTCACCCCAGGCTAAACTAATACTTAGGTCATGTCTGAGCTCTCTGGGGAACCCCCTCTTTATACCATCCAAGGGGCAATGGTGTCTTTTCACGTGGAGCAGCACAGCTGTCCAGCCATATGGGCCCCAAACAGCCCAGTCAATCGGATTTGGGGAGGTTTTACCATGTAATTTCTTAACGTGTTAGTGTTTGGGGTGAGTTTGATCAGGAGTAGAGACAGCTCTTAAGCCCAAGGGTTTAGGTTTTAAGAAGCCATCACAATGTCCCAGCATCTGAGCAGACTGGTTAAAAACAGATATGAAATCTGTGACAGGAAGGGAAGAGGACTCCTGACCCCCTCTTGGAGAAAGCCCCAGGGGTCTGCTCTATTAATTCAGCATCAGCTGCTTTTTCCTTTTTTTCCCCCCCCCCCTTTTTTAACCCGGGGCTCATCATTTAAGGCGTTCCCACTCAGGCCTGCAGAGCCTGTTACAAAACCATCTCTCGGCTCCCCTCCCCCCATGCCGCAAGATGAGAGAGCAAATAGCCTGCATTGCAGCAACAGCGCAGGAGGACTGCAATGTTGAAACCGTCCTGAAGCTAAACAAAACCAGGCCTTGAAGGAAAACCAAGGAAAGGGCAGCAGCGGTGTGTCCTGCCGCCCTTCAGTCAAGACAACCTGGAACGCAAGTCACAGCCCTATCCCTCCATAGCCAAAGGGTTCAGAAACTGTCTGCTTAAGGAAGTCTTAGTGAATAGAAAACAAACAGCCCTGAATCTAAAACCCTTGTCAAAATGGTGGAAGTCTTGAGCCAAGCGACGGCCAATATAGTTTTTCCACCAGAAAAGTACTTTAGTTTGAAGGGGGAACGTTACCAGAATGGTTAAGTTTTCCCCGCAGAAACATTCCAGATGATGGCTTTTTCCAACCAACCTCAGTCTTCAGAAATTAAAAATGTATTGCAAGGATGTTTTCTATTCATTTCTTCTCTCTGTCTCTCTCTACCTCTCTCAGTTTAAATCAAAGCTTTCTGCTTCTTAGAATTTACAAAAACTGCTTGTTTTTAGGCTTCTCATGGTACACTGTTGGAGGCAAAAAGCTAGTGCTAAGAGGTTTTAAGATTGCTATTCTTTTATTGGGACAAACACCCAATAATTGACAAGAACAGAAGCGGCCTTGAAGCGAGCAGGGCAGTGCCCGGGGTCACCATTCATTCAGTTCGTTCCCGCTGGTGGGCGCGCATCTGCCGCGACCCCCGCAGGACCACTCGCGCCGCCGCGCATCGGGCCATCTGATTTGAGGAGCTGCTTTTAGCTGTCAGAGGCTTGTCTTCCTCTCCATCTCTCATTGCTCTGAATCCACGGCTGCCCAAAAAAAACAGATTTTTTTTTTAAGTTATCAAAGAAGAAAAGCCGGAGTAGGGGAAGCAGATGGGCCCTGGGCGTGCGGAAATCGCCAGGGTTGGGATTGACTCCCACGGCTGCTAAACAGACTCTTCCGAAAGACCGAAGATTTCTCATTGCTGGCCCTGGTTTTTTATTAGGGGTCGGGGCCTGGCGTGTCTTAGGGTCTTGTTCTTATGGGCAGATTCATTCTGAGTCCTTCCTTCAGACCCAGCTAACCTCATGCTCCCGGAAAAACACAACACGACCACAACCACCACAACAAAAGGCTCCTCCCCAAAGTGAGTCTAAATGTACGCTGGACGGGTGGCGGCCGGACGTGGAGACGCACTTTTGTGCCTCTAATCTCGAGCGTCCATCTGGCCCGGGTGNTTTTTTTTTTTCATTGTCTGGAGCAGCAGAGGAGGCGAGGCGCCGGGAAGGGATGAGGGGAGTACGAGTAATTAACACGGCGGAGGCACCCCTCGGTCTCCCACTTCCACCCACACCCCCCAAACCTCCACCCCCTTCGCTTTGCAGGAAAAAGCCTGGATCTGGGGGCGGGGAGGTGGGGAGCCAGGAGGGGCGCGCACACGTATCCAGAGGCGCGGGCACGCGCGCCCACTCTCCTTCACATTCACCTTGACTGCAGGGGGGCGGGGGATGGAACTACCTTACCCCCTCCTCCACCAACCCTTCTCCCCACCCCCTGCCGCTGTCCTGCACAGACGCCAGCTTGGGGCTGGAGGGGTGGGGTGAAGTGAGGAGGTGAAAAGGCCCTCGGGTAGCCGCAGCGGCGGGACAGCCGCGCGCTCTCCGCAGTGATGTCAACCGCATCCGCCGCAGCGCCCCCCATCCCCACCCCACCCCAACTACCCCTACCCTGGGCCTCGCCAGCTCCGCGGACCGCGGAAACCATAGTCCTGCGCCTCCGGCCCCGGGACCAGAAGCAGAGGGCGTGCCGATGCCCTGAGTCCCCCACTGCATTCGCAAAAGAGGGAGAGGCAGGGAGTGGACCAGCCGCGGTACCGCGGCTCCGGGAGCGGAGGAAGGGGAGGAGGACAGCGGACTCAGACGTAGTTTGACGCCCCTGGCCCCTATGGGGAGTCAGCCCCGGACTGGTGCAGCCAGGGTTACGTTATTAAAGGGGCGGAGGGCACGGACCCCTGCAGGTGCCGCGCGCGTGGGCAAGGAGAAAGCGCCCCCTTCTCCCGGGATAGAATTGGGTAAACGGAAGCGCGTGTGAGTGTGGGGGTGCGAATCGACACCTCCATCCTTGGCTTTCCCGCTCTTCCGAGCTCTCCCACTTCTCACTTTCCCCAAATCCGCATTTTCCTTGGCACAGCTTTCCCCGAACAAGAAGAAGAGGGAGGTACCCGGGGGCAGTGAGAATGACGTGTGCTGGTGCAGAGAGGGGGTGGGGGGCTGCGGGCCGGGCTCTGTGGACCGGCTCCTAATCCTCTTGTTTTCGGTACAGTCAGCAGATGTGGCTTCTTTTAGCTGAATAATCCTTTAAAGGAATAATATTTTTTTAAAAGGAGATCGACCTCACCCAAAGAGGACGGCGAGCGAGATTAGGGCTTGGTAAGGATAAATTAAAAGGCTCCAAATTCTCTCTGTCCCTCTCTGCCTTCCTTTCTCCCCTCCTCCCCCTCAACTCCTGCACCCCGCACTCGACGCGAGTTCACGCGGAGGGCTGGATTTCCAGGCTGAACCGCAACTTGCGCTGCGCGTTATTATTATTCATCTGAGGGTGCTGCCGCCACAACCTTTGCCTTCTGCGCTCCTGTCCTTCCCCCGGGCCGTCGCCGCCAACAGTGCAGTCCCCTCCTGCCCGCAAGCTCTGGTCACCAAAGGGAGATTCAGAATTTTTTTTTATCACGCTCATGATCATCATCGTGATGCTCCTTATCGTGGTTATTATTTCCTCCTGCCAGGTAGAGCGACCACCAGCGCCTGCTCGCCGCCTACCCCTTCCCCAGCGAAGGAAGCAGTCGGGCCCGGGCCCTGGCAGCCGCTCCCTGGACGCAGCTTCCTCTGCTTCTCCGCATCCCTCCCTCATTCATCTGTATGTATATCATGTCGATCCTTTTTTTCCCAGTAGATTTACTGCCTTCCGTTGGGCTGGCTGGCCGAAACGCTGCGGACTGCGACCAGTCTCTTAAAGAGAGCAAAAAAAAGGGAAAGACCTTGTATGGACACCGGGACAAAGCACTTTGGGGTCGGCGAGAAGGGACGCACCGGAGCGCCGCTCCGGAACTCGAGTCATCGCCGGTGCCAAAGGCCTGCCCGGCGTGCGGACCGCTGAGGGTATTCAGAATGACTTTTGTTTATCCTTTTTGGTATGCTTGAACAGTGTTATTGCTGGGGAAGAGTTGGGTTTGTTTTTCTGGGAAAGGGAGCTGAATTGTGGGATATCAGGTAGACTGTGCTTGCCTCTCCTGTTCCCCTGCCTCGCCTTGTCGAGATCCGGGTGTTAGAGAGGAGATTGGGGACCAGAAGGCTTAGAGAAGAGTAGAAGCCGGAGATGTTGTCTGGAGGGCTAAGGGGACAGTGGGGGCGAATGAGAGGTGAGTAGAGATGGGCCAGCTGGAGGAGGATTTCGAAAAGAAGGGTTTTAATTAAAAACAAAAACAAAAACCCTTCGGGTTCACCGGACGGGTTTTGCTGGGGATGAAAATATGGGTGTCTGTCATAGAAGCTCTGAGAAATGGATGAAATTGTGATGTGTCCATGTACACACATAAGGAGGCGTCTGCATTTGTGTGTAAACAGAGTGGAGAGGTGAGGCAGGGCACAGAGGGAGGGTGCTTAAAATAATGTCTTATTATCCCTTTGGCTTTGGGGACTCTCGTCCTTTGGCTCTCTTCCTTTTTTGACCCAGGGAGCCAGCCGCACTAGACATGAGTGACCTTTTAAATCTACGCCCACCCCTTACCTGGTAAAGCCCGTTGACAGTTTGGGGTAGGGTGGGGAGAGTGGTAGGGGTGTTTCGAAGACGTATATATTCTCTCTCTCTCCCTCCCTTCTCCTTCCCTTCTTCCCCTCCTCCCTCGCTCTCCCCCCGTCACTCTCTCTCTTCCTCCCTCCCACCTCCCTCGCTCCCTCCTCCCTGCTGCATTTTGCATGAGCTATCTAGGTCATTAGCATTTTAGCGTATGCAAGACTTGACAAAGCTGATGAGGGGCCAGATGGGCCTCGCTCTTATGGGGTTTTTTTTTTCCTTTTTTTTTTTTTGGTTTTTTTTTTTTCCTTTTCCTTTTTCCCTCCACCACTTGGGACCTGAGCGAGAGGACTGCAGCAGGCGAGTTCCGGAAGGCTGAGTCCCCCAATCCCGGCCGTGGACCTCTGCAGCTCGCCCTGCGGCACGCCCGACCAGGCTGCGCCTGCCCTCGGCCAGCTAGGTAAAGGCAGCCCTGTCGCCCTGCCCTGGCAGTCGCTGCCGAGCCCCTGCTGCCCTCCTTGTCCCTTGCGCTGGTCTTCCCCCTCCTGGCCCCCCTCAGTTTCCTGGGCAAAGCTGAGGGCGAAATGGGTGGATAGGGTTTGCTAAGCTGGGCGAGGTGGGTTTGATGTTGTTTTGTTTTTTTTTTTTCATTGTCTGGAGCAGCAGAGGAGGCGAGGCGCCGGGAAGGGATGAGGGGAGTACGAGTAATTAACACGGCGGAGGCACCCCTCGGTCTCCCACTTCCACCCACACCCCCCAAACCTCCACCCCCTTCGCTTTGCAGGAAAAAGCCTGGATCCTAAAGGATGGGGGAGAACAAAGAGCCTTTGGAAGACGTCGCTGTTATCTCATTGTCTGTGTGATTGGGGGAGCTGCGGTAGGGAGGATGCTGTGGTCCTTTTCTCTCTGCGCTCCCCCACCCCCATCCTTCTCCCCGCTGTCACTGCGCACGCACTCGCGCCGCTTTTTACTTAATTTTTTTTCCCCTTGTTTTCTCATTCCTTCTTCTCCCCACCCCCTTCCTTTCTTCCACCTTTCCTTCCTTCCTCCTTGCCTTCCTCAGGAGAAAGGCCTCTCTCTCCGTGTTCACAGCGGACCTTGATTTAAATGTCCATACAATTAAGGCACGCGGTGAATGCCAAGAATGGGGCTGGCTGAGCACCGTCGGTCCGCGAGGGCCCGCCAAGGAAGGAGCCACAGAGGCACCCTCCGCAGAGCTCAGCGCTGCGGCTTGGGGAGGGAGGGGTCTCGGGCTCCTGCTTGCTGGGCTGGGCTGCCGGGAGCCGGAGACTTCAGGGTGGGGAAGTGTGTGGCTTGTGACAGACGCGGGTTTAGGGATGCAAACAGATTCAGGGAGAGAAACTGAAACTGATTCTGTGACGGAACCGCAGATCTGTGCAAGCACCCATGCGGTGGTGGGGGGGGTGCCTGTGAGCGCATTGCGGGAGTGCTTCTGTGTGCATATTTTTCTATACTCGGGGCGCATTGTATGCGGGTGGACACCTTTTTCCGTGGCTGTGTTTTGTTCTGGGCTTAGCTTCTGGTTTGCTCTTTAAAAAAATGTATCTGGTAGTCCGAAGACTGGCAGACTGGACCAGGGCTTGCTCTGCGAGTATATTGTGCTCTGCTCGAGGTTTGTGGGGAGGGAGATAGCCAGTTGCAAGGGAGGAGGGAGGTGTTCGTCACCCTTTGCTTTAGAGCTGTGGGCACCTGACAAGCGTTAAGGAAGTCATTGGGATATATGGGGAACAAGGGGCAAACTCTTGGTGGGCTCACAGGCTCCATCAGGGCTGAAAGCATGGCCAGGGCTCTCGGGAGCATCTCACTTCCTCCTGTGGCTGTAATTGCAGTTTTAGGCAGACATCCAAGAGATGCAGAGGAAGGGAGAGGCGCAATAACCTAGACTACCGAAGTGGGTGGTGGTGGTGGCTGTATGCCTTTTAACATCCTAACAGAAGGAAAAACAGAATGTGCACAAGTCAGGGTCTGAGAAAAGACTGTTTTGAAAAAAAATGTCAGGAGATGGGAAGGGTCAACCTTCCCTCATTCTGAAGAACGTGCTTCCCCAAATGGGGCCTTATTCCCAATCAGTGGACCTAGAGCAGCAGCTGGTCCTAGAGGCCCCTCACACTGCACAGTGACAGCCCATCCCATCTCCAGCTCTGTATTAAACCCCAAGCTGCAGTAAGTGGATGGTGGCATGACCTAAACTCATTAATTTCCTGGTGGAGAAAATGGAGGAGGGGCAGGTCCCTGCAGAGAAAGGAGGCCAAGTAGCTGGATGTTCCTACCCAGGAAGCCTGCTGCATCCCTTTCTCCGCCCTTGGCAGAGGCCTGTCTTTGCAAGGCCAAGGCCATAGGGATGCTTAGGTTTTCAGTTTGATTCCTGACATAGTAATCAGAGCCTAAAAGAGCCTTAACTGAGGAGCTGTTTCTTCCCCAAAGCCTCAGTCTAGCCTACTAAATAAATTAGTATTCAGGGATGCCCTAGCCTCATTTCTTCCCAAATATTTATTGAGTACCTACTATGTGCCAATTATTGTGTAATTATTATACCTTAGGTTCTTCTTTTGCCCTCCTAAGGTGGTGTCTGGAGTCAGTTGAGATTAAGTGTGCCGTGCCCCATCTAGACACTCTCAGAACCTTCTCTGGGTCGGCAGAAATGTGCTACAACCTGTTCACCCCTGCAGGGAAGGCTGCAGGTCATATCATGCAAACTGCAGGCACTGTGCCTCAAGTTCCAGAAGGCAAGCTTGGCTGTAGGACAGACAAGAGAGCAGCTTCTCTGGCCCCTGAGCCTTAGCCAGGGTTGTCCTAACAGGCACTGACAGCCGCTGCCTTCAAAATAGACCTTCCTCCAAATGGAGCCTCCTTGGGGGTATAAATCCCTTTGCCTCTCCCTTCCCTCCTCACTGAGAAGGCTGCTCTTATGATTCTTTGGAGCATGATTTAAGCCTCTGATGACCAACCCTTTGCCCCCACCCCAGTTGTCCACATTAGTCAGCCTTGTCTCCATAATTGCTTCTCTGTAATTCCATCAGACATGGCTGCACCCTTTGCTGATGTGCCGCCCAAGTAATGCCCCTTTTAGTTGGAAACCTAACGCACTTCTCTCTGAGAACTTAAACCGCAGGCACCATGGACAAGGCCTGCCAGCTTCCTGCTGCCGATAATCTGCAATGGGAGGGGCATATTTTTTATTTTATTACTTATGTAAACTCTTGGTCCAGAAAGCTTTAATGTGTGTGGGAGTGTTCTGGGTTTGCTGGGTCTGTGTGCATCAATGTGGGGATATTCCTGTGTTCACCAGGTCCTTACAAATGTTTTTATGTGGGGCTTTAATAGCCAAAAATGGCAGAGAGGAATGCACCACTCTGCCCTCTATGTAATTTCAAGGCCCCTTTTTTGTTCACCAAATGGAGGTATTGGAGTGAAGGTCAGTCCTGGCTTCTTCCCTTCCTCTATATTTGGAGCCTATTTCTGCCCAGCAATGTTTAGGTAAGAAACTTGAAGGTTTCTGATTTTTCAAGGCTTTTCTTTAGCGCTTAACATCATCTTCTCCTCCTACCTATTTGAGCCCTTCTAATTACATCCTATTGTTTACACAAAGGGGGGGATATATGATTTTGAAAATGTAGGACATGTTTGAGGCAGTTTGCTGAGAATATGCCAAGAAGACCCCCAATCGGTTCACACATACCCCCATCACTATGGTCCTCATGAGGATGAGAGCTCATATGCTTCTCAAGGTGACTGTATCAGATATTTTAAGATGGATTTAGAAATGTATCAAAGGAAAATTGGTAATATTCTTCTTTCCTCTGCCAGAGACGGCCCAGATCTCTGTTTAACTGGAAAGGAAATTGATCAAAGGCAAAGGTAAATTCCTCTATCACTTCTGTCACCAAAGGGGTGGAGAAGGGGGACAGGTTTAGTGGCTGCGTGATGAACCTTAGCCAGAGAAATATTTGGGGGGAGAGGTAATTTCTCAGCAGGTATATGCCCACATATACATTTTCTCGCATAACCATATCCATTGCTAATATTTATAGAAAAGCATTTAACCACACACACACACACACACAAATCCATACATTTCTACTGTCTCCACAGGGAAATAATTTTCTATTTCCCTCTACTGAACTTACATAATACCCCCACCACTTGTTCCAACCTGAGAATGGAGTCCTCTGGAGGCAGCTGAAAAGCTTTCTCCCTAGGACAGATGGAGCCTCTCTTCCTCCTCGAGGCTGTGGGTGGTTTTAGAGCCCCATGAGTCAACATGGGCTGAGGGTTGTGCTGGGGTCTGTGTGGTTGAGGCTTGGCTGGCTGATTCATGGTGATGAGTATGTCAATAAGAACAAGTATGAGAATTATGATACCTAATAAAGATATTATTTTTCTTCCAAATCCCATCTACAATTCTTTCATTTGGGTGTTTTTGCCAAGTCTTACTCAATTTGACTTCAGTTTAATATATAGATAGATAGATAGATAGATAGATTTAATATTTAATTGCATCTCCTGTGTAGGCATCGAATAAGAGAAAGGACATCAAATAGGATTCATTGGAGTCAATGCGTGCTATTCTGTGCCACCCAGTTCAGGTCTGCAGGGGACCTGGAAATATCTGCACCAAATTTAGATGGCCCCAAAGGGGGAGGAAAAAAAAGCAGGCCTTATTGAGAGCAAGGAATGTTCCAGGTCAGAAACAAAGTGTCAGCAATTCTCAATAGGTTCACCTTTTCATTTTCTTATCCTTCTCCCTTTTGTCTTAAAATGAAAATGTTATCCAAAAAATGAAGACCTGGGTCATGCTGCATAAGCCCCAAAAATAAACTTCCAGAATCACTAGAGGTTTTCTCTCTGAACTTTAAAGTGTGTGTTGGTGGTGGTGGGGGGAGTATTTTAAATTAAACTTTTATTAAATTATTTGAAAATCCAAACTATTTATTTCGTAAAATACACAAATATTGGGACTAGGACCTAGAAGGCAATATTTTCGCTGGAAGTTCAATTGCTACTTGGTGTAACATCTTTAAGGTGGTTCTCAGCGGAGATCGGCGTGTGCTCGGGTCCTGCCCCAGCGGCGGTGCCCACCCACCGGACCCTAAGCCCAATGCCCAGGGCTTGCCAGTGACCTGCTTTCCAAGGCGCATGAGGCTTTTTTCTTCTTTCTCTCTAATGCCCCGAGACACCTACATTGAGCAAGGTGAAGATGCACAGACGCTAGCTTCCTTGTTCTTTTTGGCTCCTGTTTTCCCAGCTTTGATATTTTTCTTGCCCGAATCAAGAAACCCCGGGGCCTCCAGACCTGAGTCACCCTGCACTCTCCAAAACTTCGGACTGATCCAAGGTGCGGAGAGGGCAAGGTGCCCCCGGCACGGGGCCATCAAAGACAGGGAGAGCTCCCCTTACCGCACACCTCCATGTTACCCTCATTTCACTCCAGCGCTAGATGGGACACACGACGATCAACAATAGAGATAGATGATCAAGGAGTCGGGGTTAGGAATGGGGGGCGGATCAGGGAGGGGGTGCATCTCCGGCTCCGAATGGGTCGTGCCAAACCAAAGTCGTTACCCGCCCTCCCCAAAGAAATGTCTGTCAGTCCAGCTCTCCAGCGCTCGCTGAGGCCTGCGGCTCCCGGCCTAGACGTCTGGCCTTCCCGGCCGCGCGCCCGGCCTGGCCTCTGCGCGGAGACCGCCAGGCGCCCAGGACTGTGCGTCCCTCTCCCCTTTTCCCCGTCTTTCTTGTCCACAACAGGACCTGCGGCTCCGACGACTTCATCTCGCACCCCAGAAAACCTCAGAATGTGCGAGAAAGAGGAGCAGGCACCAGCATGGCCAAGGAGGGAGGAAGCTGGTTAAGGATTGCGACCGGCCGAAATGTCACTTAGCTTGGCTTCCCACGCACAGAGCGCATGGGTGAAAGCACTTTCGAGGTGTTTTTATTGGAGGAGGGTAATTTTCGCCTCCGTGCATCCTTCCCTGACTCCCCCTTTATGCCGCCCAGCCTCTTCTACCCTCCATGCCCACAGCAACAGGGCCAGGGAGCTGGGCCTCTGCCCCCAGGACCCAGCATTCCACCGCCCCCCCAGTGACAAGTCCTTGCCATCCCCAAACACCCTCCTTCCCCACCCCCGCAAAACTCTCTAAAGAAGCCAAAACAACAAAATTCTCAACCGAGAAGAAAAACAACACATTTATCCTTCAGCCTTTGTCAGCGCTGGTTGCAATTCCTACACCAGAAGGGACGGAGCCGCTTGGAAGTCTGAAAGAGGGGGAGCAGACATGCTCCTTCGGGGAACCTCTGAACCCCGGTCCTTGTCCCAGGCAGAAAAAGATGCAGCCGCTCCCCTCGATTGGACATGGTCTGTTTTAAAAAGAATTAGATTCCTTCCTTTTCCTCATTTGCTGGGTCCACCAGGGTGCAGTCAGTGATATAAGGCTCCTTTGGATGAACAAGCCAGTGCCCGGAAATAACCTTCAGAGCCCTGGTCTCAAGGTCATGTGCCCCAGGAACAGGGGCCTGTTGGCCTCTAGAGGTCAAAGGCTGGGACCAAAACGTGCCTGACAAAGGTAGTGCCACCAAAAGCTTCGGACACACAGGAAGGGGCACCTGGACATCACAATGGGTTCCCTTCAGCCCTGTCCCACACTTACACAGACTGAGGTGGAAAATATTTCTTCCCATTTAATTGAGACAGTGGTTTCATTTCAGGTTCCTCCAGCTTAAGGCCCAATGGGGGTTTTCTGCAGCTCTTTTCCCCTGTGCCTCTACAGAAACTAATTGCTGTTAATATCCAATTTGGGGCTTTATTATTCGTTAGCCAATTATGGATCCCATAGCCCAGGCCCCTTGCTGCTTACAGTCTCTGCTGGAATCAGCTAACATTGTGCCTGCTTTCTTCCTTCGCCTCTATTCAAACCCTTCCCCCACCCCCAAGATGATTTACTGGGAGCATCAGTCATTTTGTTTGTTTGTCCCAGCACTTAGCCCAGTTGGGGGGTGGGGGACGGTTGGGGGGGGTACTTTCAGGCTTTTTTTCCCCTTTTGAGGGCGATTTTTTTTTTCTTTGCAGTTGAAGAAAATAATTTCCACTAAAAAAAAAAAAATGAAGTGTTTTCACTCTCTCTTCACCCCCTCTGGGTTTTCTTTTTCTGAAGCCATTTTTGGAATAGCAGCTATCCAGAAGAAAGCATGGTGCCTCTGCCTCAGTTCTCCCCCTTTCCTCTCTCCTGTTCACCTCCCCAGGAGCCTGAAAGCTAATATATATGATGTCATTTCACATTTCAAGGAGGGAAACTTGAAAAAGCAATTTGGGAAAGGCACCATTTTCGGAGATGAAGGAAGGAGCTTTTTTGTCTTCTCTCCCACAGATGCCCTGGAAACCCATCCTGCTTTACTTCCTTACCGTCTGGAGCTGACGCAATTGGGGGCCGGTAGCCTTATAAAAAGAGTGTTCTTTTGCTTCATTTTATTCATGTGCTCTGAGTTTATTGATACACAGAAGCAAGCACTTCTCATTCCTGGTGCTCTGGAAACAGGAAAACAAAAGTCAAAATCATAAAGAGAGCAGGAAGATCCATCTTTGTCTGTTTTCCCTTCTTCGCCCATTTTGAAAGAACGCTTTAAATGCCCCCGTGTGCTCTTACATTTATCTCTAGCACTTCTCTAGCAACCTGCATAGTGTCCGCATCAGAATTCAATGGAGAGAAAAAGAAAATGTCAGAGCAGCTGGCTTTGGCTGAGGCCTCCTATGGCCACCCAGAGGCCCTGCCCCTTCTGATGAACTGGAGGGGGAGGTGGGAAGCTTTCATCACTGCCTGGGAATCCTATGGTCAGGTTTTTAGTAGGGGGGAACTGGGGGCGAGTGTTGTGTAAGGATGGGACATCATTAAGAAGGTATCTTACACATAAGGCTCAATAAATACCACCCAAATTGGATGCAATTAAATTAACAGCAGCTGTCCTGCTTTTCCTGCAGAAAAGCTACAATTATGCATTAAGGCCTCTTGGGCAGAGGATCGAGTGGCCTCATAGGAAAGGAAAGGGCTTAAAAATGTTTCTGGTTCATTCCCTAGCCTCAGCCCTGCTTAACTCATCCAGATGTGTGGAGTTTGATTTTTCAGGGAGTTCAACATTCACGACCAGGGCCAGACAAATTCAAAGAAACCCTTCTATAGAACACTTCTATCTTCATTGTAGAGCACTTCTTTTACTTGCTAATGACCCTTATATCTCTCCCTTCACCACTCCGCACTCACATCTCATGGCAAGGTCTTCCCCACTGGGGTATGTCCTAAAGAAATAAATAATCAATTTCTATTTCCTTCTACTCTCCACCCCCAGCCCCTTGAAAACATCTGTGGACAAGAGGTGTTAGGAGAAAAGCAGTGAGGTTAAACCATTTCACACTAATATGTGAATTGCTGCCTCTCTTAACTTTCCCAGAGATATTTACATCTCAGAAGAGGCACTTACATAACAAGTGAAGTCTAACCGTAGGAGTTTCTTATAAAGCCATCCAGAAATGGGAGGGCAGAATAGCATCAACTTCCCACTTTGAGGGTGAGGAGAGCATCATCACCCCTTCATTCCAGACACACCAATGCTCCAAACACATAGATATGACATAGTTAATGAGAAAACACAGTCCAAAAGCCCTAAATGAGTCCTTGTTAGTTCCCTCCCCAAGCTCTTACATTTTACTAGTCCCACTTGAAGGCAGGTAGGAGCACCCTGAGCCTTTAATCGAGGCACCTGTGATTTTTGCATATCACTTTTGAGTATCAGTCTAGGTCAAAGGCCACCATATTTTTTTTAATTAAAATTTATTGGGGTGACATTGGTTAGTAAAATTACATGGGTTTCAAGTGTACAATTCTAATACATCATCTAAATATCACATTGTGTGTGCACCACCCAAAGTCACTTCTACTTCCATCACCATATATTTGACCCTGTTTACCCTCATCTACCATCCCCCCTTCCCTCTTATCCTCAGGTAACCCCTGCACTATTGTTTGTATCTATGAGTTTTTGTTTCTTTATTTGTCTTGTTCCTTTGTTGCTCCAAAGGAATGAAACTAGACTGTTATTGTCACCATGTACCAAAATTAACTCAAAGTGGATCAAAGATTTAAACATAAGACCTGAAACAATTAACTGCATAGAAGAAAACATATATACTAAACTTATGGACCTTGGGTTCAAAGAGGATTTTATGAATTTGACCTCAAACGCAAGGGAAGTAAAGGCTAAAATAAATTAATTCAGACTATATCAAACTAAAAAGCTTCTGCACAGCAAAAGAAACCATCGACAAAATAAAGAGGCAACCAACTAAATGCGAGAAGATATTTGCAAACAACGCCTCCAATAAGGGACTATAATAATATCCAAAATATCTAACAACCTCATACAACTCAACAACAACAACAAAAATCCAAGTAAAAAAAGGCCACCATATTTAAAGCCAGCCCTTTCATGTCACTCTGCATAATCATGAATTCTGTTTTCACTCTTCTATGAATCACAATTTATTATTGGATTAAATACTTCATTATGTGACACGGTGGGTCCCCTTCAGTCCAGTGACCCATAAGAGACTCCTTTGAGTTCCAGGCAAACTGGGAATTGGGCAGAGCCTGACTCTGGCATGCTCCAGGTTGGTTTTGTTCACTCTCCTCCCCCTAGTCTGCCTTTCCCTTGTTTAACCAGAGCTCCCTCATCTCCTTGATACGACAACTTTTCTCATTCCCATGGTGCATCTATGTTGTGAACCATGGCAAAGCCAGGGCCCAGAGCAAGTTCTTGGACAGTCAGAACAGTTGTGACTTGTTAGCAATTGTGAGGCCAGCACGTACAGTAACCGCCTACCCAACTTCCCACCAGCCTCCTAGAAAACTTGAACTTGGAAAATGTCAAATGTCTCTTCCCCTTTCTCCCCTCTTCCACTTCTACCTCAGCCTCTTGCCACCTTCCTGTGGACAATTAATCAATAGCAGCAGCATCACATGAGAGGTTACGAGTGTGATCTGCTGCTAGCCCATACTGTACCCCTATTGTGTTAAACCTGTCATACTCAATTCCTGAATCACTCATCATACTATAGACTAAAAACTATCCAAGACAGCATTTGGGGCAGCTAGGAAAATTAGGGTAATCCCAGGGTCTCTCTGAAATCTAGAGGGACTCAGTCTTTTCCATATTCTGAGGCTTCCAGAATATTAAAAAATTAAGAAATGCTATAACAAGATTATATGCTGATAGTTAAGAATTTGATATAACATGATTAATATCTGCTTTCAACTCTGTTTGTATACCTATGCTGTATGTATAGCATCTCCCAAAAATATTACCAGAAAGTCTACATATGAGGTCCTTGTGATGCTGGCACCCAGGCAGAAGGCCTATATGCTCAGGCTTAGCTCCCAACTCCTGGAGAGAGCACAGCATAGTGTATATGACTGCAAGCTCTGCCATCACAACACGGCTGTCTGTGGCTCTACCACTAGGTTATGGGACTTTGGGTAAGTCACTAAACTTCTCTGTAAAAAAGGTGATGATAATAATGCTGTCTACTTCATAGAGTTGTTGTCAGAATTAGATAATGCATGTTGAAATGTTTAGCATAGCATGTTGAAATGTTCAATAGAAATATAAAGCAAGCATGTATGGAATTGTAAATCCCCTAGTAGCCACATTTTTAAAAGTAAAAAATAACATGTGACATTAATTTTAATCATATGTTTCATATAACCCCATCCATATGACCTCAAATATTATCATTTCAACACGTAATCAATATAAAAAGTATTAATGAGATGTCTAACATTCATATACCAAAGTTAGTTCTTAAATATTTTCTAGGAACCAAATAGGGTATCTGTTTTTAAGCTTAAATTAAAGATTCTGTTCTTGAGTTGCAGTAGCCACATTTCTAGAGCTCAGTAGCCACATGTGACCAGTAGCTACTGCATCAGGCCGTGCAGCTTTCAGCATAATACCTGGCCATTACTCTCAGGGACCACCCACCCCCCCCAACCCCAGACACAGGGAACAGCTCCTTCTCTTCCCTCAGACTCCAAATCAGAGGCCAGGCCTGTCATTTGCTCCACACATGGCCTGCAGGATGAGCCCAAGCCCAGCATCTCTAGGGCCTCTTTGGAGTACAATTTTTCCAGTCGCTGATGGGGCCATCTGCCAGGAACATCTTCCTGACTTTCCCCACTGTGGTTCTGGGAAGGCTTTAGGAGTCTCAGGATTACGATGCTACGTGCATATGTGTAATAAGTGCGGACAGCAAGGCTTTTGTGGAGGGTTATTCTTAGAAACAAGAACTTGGTACATCTGTACAGCAGAAATGACAGGACTAATATGGACACACCAGTGTCTGACATTTGTTCCTAGTCACAGACCAAACTATAGATGGGAAAATGTAGACATGAGGGTGAGACATGTTTCTAAATTTAGTTCTATGCAAATTTCTCATACTGTTAATTACACATCTTCTCAACGTCCCCGTATTCGTTTTTCTAGCAATTTTTGTTGAAATCTTGCTGTGTGTCAAACACTGATGACAGCTAGGAAGGGTTTTTGCATATATAAGACTCATTCCACCCCTGCCCTCAATAATCCTGCAATCCAGTAGAGGTAAATAAGACAAATACATAAATAATTATGACAAAGCCTAATGTGATTGGTGCCATACGAGAGAGAGTCAAAATCCTAGGCGAGGTCAAATGAAAGGGATGCATTTTCCAAGGAGAGGGATAGGGAGACTTCCAGAGGCAGGTGGGATGTGGGGGAGGGGGAGTACCCTAAATGGGAGGATTAGCATGATCCCTGTCCCAGGCTGAGAGAGGCTGGCAAGACTAAGCGTAGGTATAATGACAAAATATCAGAAAGAAAGTTTGGAGCCAGATTGCACGTGGGAATTGCTGGATCATACAGTGTCTTAGTCAGCTCAGGCTGCCATAACAAAACACCACAGGCTGGCTGGCTTAAACAACAGACATTTATTTTCTCACAGTTCTGGAAGCTGGAAGTCCAAGATCAGGGTGCCAGCGTGGTCGGGTTCTGGTGAGAGCTTTCTTCCTGGCTTGCAGATGGCTGCCTTCTTGCTGTGTCCTCACATGGTAAAGAGAGAGAGGAAGTTTCTCTGGTCTTTTCTTATAAGGGCAATCATGATGGCCCCACCCTCATCTTAAACCCCATCACCTGCCAAATACCACTTACCATCTTCAAATACCATCACATTGGGGATTAGGACTTCTCCATATGAAGTTGGGGTGGGGGCAAGACAAAATTCAGTCCATAGCGCATAGTGGTTCTATTTTTAATTTTTTAAGGAACCACCATACTGTTTTCCACAGAGGCTGCAGCATTTTACATTCCCACCAACAGTGCACAGGGCTCCAATTTCTTCCCAATCTCGCCAACACTTGTTATTACTTTTTTATTTACAACTGCCATCCTAACGGATGTGAAGCGGTATTTCATTGTGGTTTTGATTTGCATTTCTTTCAAGATTATTGATGCTGAGCATCTTTTCATGTGTTTATCGGCCATTTTGTGTGTC